ATTGTAGAGATATAATTTTATCAACTGGCTTTAATAGAGGTTTGAGCGGCATAGTTGAGCTTATGTTCTCTTAATATCTTTCAAGGCTGAAGTTTGGCTGGATGTATTTCGCTTTTAGCAATAACTACTCCATGCTGCTTGCTTCTTTGGTAGTGTTTTGGAACATTCAGTAGTCTACCATGTAACACATTTAGATGTGTATGGCCGAGAAGTTCGTGGAATGGCTCTGAAGGCAGCATTCAGGACAGTGACTGAAATAATAAAGCATGTGTGTTGTGGAAAAAATGATAGAGGAAGAGGGAGAGTAAAGAGAAACATAAAATGCCAGTCTACTCTTTCAAAGCACCAGTGTGAGGAGTTGGAGAGCGGTACATGGGAAATAGGAGGTAAATAGGAAAAGGATCACTGTAGGGAAGGTGGTCTTGAATTAACCAATGAAAGTCTGTGTGAAGGGAAGAAGAGCAAAGAGAAAAGTCGAGGCATGGAAAGGTTTTGGTGTGTTTGTGAAAGTGAGTGGGGTGGATTGAATTATGTAGGATAAGGTCAGTGTTAAAGAGAGTGTTCCAAGGAATGACCTGCAGCTAAAGAAATAGTATCAGGATATTTATCAGGGAAGGAGGGATCTGGGGAGGGACATTTTGACAAATGGGATTCACGTGTGAATCCAGCAGGAAGTACAAGGTATAATGGGGATTTGGTCTGAGAGACCTTCTCGGGGTCTTCCGCGAGGAGCGTGAAGGTCTCTTCCGGGGCCTTCCTCAGCGTGACTGATGAAGGTCTCTCATGGGGCCTTCCTCCCCCCGTTTTTGCTTATAAAATGAAAAAAAGGAATGGTGTAAGTTGAGAGAGAGTATTGGGAAGAGGGGCAGGAGGAATATGAGGACGGGGAGGGCGGATGTTAGCAGTCACTCTGATGGTAGACAGAGTGGGGATAAAGGAATTAGAGGATGGTTGAAAGGTGCAATTTCTTGGGTCATCCCTAGGAAGTTTTGGATAACCCCAGGGGCTTCTGGAGGGTAGTTGTGTGGGGAGGGAAATGAAGGATTTTTTATGAGGTGAAAAATAGATAGGCATTTCAGCAGAAAATGTTGATGTGGTTGTGGTAGGTGCAGAGGGGATGGAACATTTAGAGGGGAGAGGAGTGAAGTGAAAGGTTGGATTGGAGTAGGGAGTGCCAGAAAAACCTCAGCGTGTTTCCTGCCTGGCCTCTCGTAGAATAAGGCCAACTTAGTATCTGAGAAATGTTACTTCAGAATCAAACTTGCGGGCAGGGCAATTCCTATGAAAACATTATGGGAGCCACCACAATTGTCACACGTACATGAATGTGCAGTGCAATTTCGAATGGTCATGACCAGGCTGGGCACATAGAGGCAGCAAGCTGTGGAGTGGCAGAGGAGGCTGAGAAGTTGGCCAAATTTCTTTCTGATTCTCCACTGGTATAGACCTTATGGGGACGGTCATGTCAAAGGAAGGTAAGGTTGACAATATTGATGTAGGACTTACAGCAGTCTCTAGTCCGCACGACAGACAAGTAGGTCATTTTCACAGTCTGACCAATTCTTGTTGTAGACAGGGCAACCAAGTAGGGAGGTGGAAACATTTCCGGTAATAGTATTAAGGGAGGAGTCAGATTGAGCAGGAATAGGTTTACCAGTGAAGTCAACCAGGATAGATAGTGCATGGGCTTGGGACTCAGATGTAACTGTAAAAAGACATGGGTGATGGGGATGGCTGCGGAAGGAGACTTTGCCTATTTGTTTTGGAAGCACTGTTGGGAAAATAGGGTACTGTCAGAGTACTTTGCTGTAGGGGGAATCACAAAAATCTCAAAAGGGTTGTAGAGATGGGAGTTGTAGAAGGTCGAAGGCAGAAGGAAGAGGGAGTGGTGTAGAATGGATATAGTGCTGTGAATGGGAGGGCACTAAGGTTGAAGAGTTGTAATAAAAGAGGAGAAAGTAGGAAATTCAGACGATTGTGCAGGAGATGGGGTCGGGGATATTGGCATTGAGGGAAGGGTGTCTTCAGGAGGTTGAGTAGATGATTCGGGAAGGATTAAATTGACAGAAAGTGTGGAAGAGGGAGGGTGTAGTAGCAGTGGTCAGAGCCGTGGTCAAAGGAGAGTCAGGGGTCGGTAAATCAGAGGTTAGATTTAGGGAGGGTAGTCGGTAAAAGGGAAACCTCAGTGCTCCAAATAAAGATACATTATTACTGGTCATGGTAAACCTGAAAATCATGGGAAGATAAACGGTTCACCTTTCAGGCCCACAATGAGGTGTAAGGGCTAGACAATTATGAAGGGAATAACGTGCCCATTACTCCCTGAGGCTGTTCATGACAGGAACAGTGAGTCTTTCATCCTTTGAACACTGCTCTCACACTCAAGTAATTGGACAGGGGCAGGAGTTTGGGAAGAAAGGGAAAACGAAAAAGAAAAAGAAAAAGAAAAGACTATGCAAAATTAGTCGAGCCGAGGGCTGGGGTCCCCTACATTGGATCT